GACAGACAGACAGACAGACAGACAGACAGACAGACAGACAGACAGACAGACAGACGACAGACAGAGACAGAGACAGAGACAGAGACAACAGAGGGAAAGACAAAAAACAAAGAGAAAGATAGAAAGAAAAGAGAGAAAGAAAAGAAGAAGGTAGGGCGTTACGGTGGCACCCTCCTACCAGCCGCCTTTCTTTGTTGGAACAGTACGTTGAGTTTATGAAAAGCTTTCTAAATACACACTGGTAAAAAAAAATGTAGGACGGTGACAGAAAAGCTGACGGGGTGAAACAGTTGCAAAACACAAACATTACACAGAAACATAGTCATAATATAGACAAACAAAAATCGTAATATTGCGGGTAGGAGAAGATAATCTAAAAATCTCTAAAAATGACCAGTCTCAACACCAGAAACAAGAAGCAAAATTTTCACATGCACACATACATGAACGTACACACTAGCACACATACGCACATACGCACACACATGCTACATCAAACAATAAATCGTAATATCAAATGACTTCACATCACAAAATTTCATAATTCTCTACGCGCTCAGCGCTATTACAGATCTTTAAAAATGAAGAGTTAAAATTTAACCAATTGGATCTGAAACTGAGTGAGCAAAAGATAAAAAAAGACGATCGGGTTGGGGAAGGATGGGAGATTTGAGGGGATGGGGGAAACTAACGGGTGATAAACTAGGTCAAATCGTGACACAGTTTTCGCCGACTCTAGCACAACCAGGATTTGGTCAAAGACTTGTGTATTAAAATCCTAGATCGTGCACCCTGACGTATTGCCGGCACACCACGGAGCGCACCATTAGACTAACATTTGAGCCAAATGAAGGGCAAGGGGAGATGGATGCCGCATGCGCTCCACTACAGTGAGACTGGTGTCCTGCCCTTCACTTGGCTGTAATGGCGCGGTTATTGGTGTGTGCGCTTCGCAGTGCAGTTCTTTTGTACAGAGGGAAGAGCCGCGGCCATGACAGTGCGCGATCTAAGAGAACAAGTCTATGGATCTGATATACCTTTGGTGACATGTCCGTGGTGTTAAACGGATGTCTGGTTGTGACGACCTGTGAGGCAGACGCGTAGGTGTGTGGTAGTACTTTTTCTACAACACTTGGATCAATAATGACGTAGATACAATTCTAAGTATTTTACGCCCCCACCGACACAATTGTGGTCATTTAGGAAGCGGGCTGCTAGTCAAGACCAACCCAGCAGGCAGACAGAGGTACTCAAATAAAACATTTCCCGTTCAGGAATGGAATGCACGTTAACACATACTGAAACACACACACACACACACACACACACACACACACACACACACACACACACACACACACACACACACGCACGCACGCACACATACATACATACATTCAGATAGATATGGAGTAAGACAGCATGCATGTTTTTTGTGGCGCAGAAGGCGGCCAAAGCACACAGTCAATTTCTGCCAAAGCAAGGTTAATAAAGTATACAAGTGTTATCTTTGCTTACCTTACCTTACCTATATATTTGAGATAGCAGTTTATTCAATAAGGAGAAACACACCGTCACGATAATGGCTACCCAGTGCCAGGGTAAAACATGACAGACAGGCACAGAGAACAGGCCGAAAGGAAAGAGACAGGACCCGTCAGTGGTGCCCTAAAAACATCCAACAGCAATTGCAAAATTAATGTTTTACGCTCCCATGAACACAATTTAGATCATTTACAAGGCGGGCTGCTTCGGGCCTGCTTGTTCAGTAGAACCTTGGCTAATAAATAGGGTTACAATGCCACCGCCCCCCCCCC